TCGGGGCAGAATTTCACGATTCTTCCAAAAGGGATAATGCATGCAGTAGCAACTGCAATCAATTTGCGGAATTGACACTCGCCAACGAGTGAACGTGCTCTCGGTAAATTCTGTGAAGCCAACTCAGTTGGCTTTGTTAAAGTTAACAAAGGTGCGGTTGTCCACAGAAATGAAGTTGGGAGGTATCTCTATCAAGATAATTATGGGCAGATGGGCTGATGCGAGGGTTAGAATAGGTCTCCAGGTTATGCTATTCATCAGATCACCACTAGCAATTGAAATATCCGGCGAGTTATTACAGTTGCCCATAATTTTGTTGGGGTCTTCGCCATTCATTGTGCCGAGTGTTGAAACGTCTATAAGTTCCGCCAGCTCCATCACCCCACGATTGTTTTACAAGCAGGGGTGTCAAAGGCGCCTAGTACCTAACGGTTTTTACCACGAAGTAGCGCACCTATGTTCGAGTGATATCCTGATGGGCAACATGTAACAGGGGGGATGTATATACAAGTATTAAATAGTTCGAGCTCGACATCGCCTGACCGAATAGCAATACCGATAAGACGATATTCCACAGTGTTGTGCAGTATCAAGGCTAAGCCTCCACTATTTGCGATCTCGCTAGCGATCCTGTCTGATTAGTAGACTGGGAGTCACGCTGCCTGTTTTAGTTTCCTAGTACCGTAGAGAACCTTTGCTGGCCACTCGACTGGAGTGGCGGCGCATTGCGCGAACTGGTTGCGATTTGCACGCTCATAAAGGCTGATGTCGCAGTATTGCGTTAGTAGCATGCGGCCACATAACTTGTGGTCCACTCCCGATGTGTCTTAAAGCCAGAGCAGGTCTTAAGATGGCTCCATCCATTGCATGTGTTACATCTAACCGAGGTGGAGTTTAGAAGGAGCCTTTTGGCGCAAACGCAGCACAAAAATTTCTCCGGGCCCGGGTAGGACTCAATGCCAATGAAGTCAGTCTTAACCAAAAACTTACCGATCCAAGGGTTAGAACACCGAAATAACAGCCCTTGGTCGAATGAAATCCGAGTCATTTCCGGTAATGTAGAACCGGCTGTCGTGGGTATTGAGTTTTAATGGGGTCATTCCATGTGATGGGCTCAAAAAATCGATTGTTTTTTATAAATTGGTTTCTTAACATATCTAGAATAAGGCAGTAAAGTGATTTTTAAACATTCTAAGTCTTTTCAAAGACACAGCAGTTAGAAGGAGCTGTGCGGAGCGCTAAGTTGCAGACTTAAAACTTTAAGCGCGTTTTTCTAAAAGCTGAATTTTTCAAACATTCCTCTAATGTATCTTAAAAACGGCTTGACCGTATGACTTGAAATTTGTAGGGTAACTCAGCACATGTAAACGCATGGAATGAACTATTATCAATCAAAAAGTTCTTACTTAAAATTACCAAAAGTTCAATTATTGTTAGTAAAGTGATTCTAACTAATCTAATTCTAACTCGTTTCAAAAATACAGCAGTTAGAAGGAACTGTGTGGAGCGCTGAGTTGCGGACTTGAAGCTTTATATGCGCTTTTCTCAAAACTGTGTTTTTCAAACCTTTCTCTATCGTATGTTAAAAACGGCTTCACCGAATAGGGTAACTCAGCACATGTAAACGCATCGAATGAACTATCATCAATCCAAAATTTAGATAATTTATAGCAAAAAGCAAATATGCAAAACTCGCAAATTTTTTTGATAATAGTCCATTCTCATAGGCATACATATTAAAACGCCGCTAATTTCTTTTTTGTTTGAGATAAGCCAAACAACCGGAAGTGCGAGGTCATTTTTTTGAGGCGGGAGTGTTCATAACGCTGTAACTCATGTTTTATGGTGTCGAAATATTAGGTCAAGTAAAAAATTCGTTCGGTTTTTATTTAAGAGATGGCGTTATTGTCCATAGTACTAGTGTTACGTGTCGCATCATATCATACACGGCGTTTATTCGCGCTAAAAGATTGTCCATGACAGTTTTTCGATTGATTGACTCAGTACGTTGTGAGCGCTCGTCAGAGATGGACACCAGCAAAGAGAAAACTCGCTTTATTTTACAATTTTTCTTCGATCAAGGCGAAAAAGCAGGCAAAGCGGCTGAAAAAATTAATTTAGTTTATGGGCCCGATACTGTAAAAGATCGTGTAGCACAAAAGGGATTTGCTAGGTTCCGTTCCGGTAATTTCGATGTCAAAGATGCACCACGCGTCGGGAGCCCTGTCGTCGAAAATTGCGATAAAATCATGGAAATAGTGGAAACAGACCGTCACGTGAGCACTTATTTAATTGCTGAGGAAATAAAGATAAGCCAGAAAACCGTTTGGAACCATTTGCATAACCTAGGATTCAAAAAGAAGCTCGATGTTTGGGTGCCACACGAACTAACGCAAAAAACATGATGGACCGAATTTCCATCTGCGAATCACTGCTGTATCGCAACAAAATCGACACGTTTCTGAAGCGGATTGTGACTGGCGATGAAAAATGGGTCACTTACGACAATATCGAGCGCAAACGGTCGTGGTCAAAGCTCGGGGAAGCGGCCCAGACAATGGGCAAGACCGGATTGACGGCCAGGAAGGTTTTGCTGCGTGTTTGGTGGGATTCGCAAGAAATCATTTACTACGAGCTGCTCCCCAATGGCCAAACGGTCAATTCGGCCCTCTACTGCCAACAACTGGACCGCTTGAAGGCATCACTCATTCAGAAGAGGCCATCTTTGATCAACAGAGGCCGAATTGTGTTCCATCAGGACAACGCCAGGCCACACACGTCTTTAGTGACGCGCCAGAAGCTCCGAGAGCTCGGATGTGAGGTCCTAATGCACCCACCTTATAGTCCTGGCACCAAGTGATTACCATATTTTCCTGTCCATGGCAAACGCGCTTAATGGTGAAAAGTTGGCCTCAAGAGAGGCCTGTGAAAATTAGCTCTCCGAGTTTTTTGGCAATAGGGACGCAGCCTTCTACGAGAGGGGTATAATGAGTTTGGAATTTCGTTGGTAACAAGTTTACGAACAAAATGGCGCATATTTGACTTAAATCGGACAAATGTACACAAAGTTATCATCTTTTGAAAAATCAATAAAAAAATCGAACGAACTTTTTACTTTACCTAATATATATTAATAAGTGATAAAAAGATAATACAAATCCCTAAGACATGGGATGACCCCCTTAAATCGTAATTAAAGTATTCTTAAATTTGACTGATTAACACAATTATAAAATGATTGCATGTAAACAAATAGTAAGTGTTCACATACCCACATATTGCAAGACAAAAAAAAGAAAAAGAGAAGAAAAGAGAAATGTTATACCGCAAATATAGGATCCAAAATCGTGAGATGGGTTATGTCCAATCTGTCAGTATTTCAATTCTCTTGATAAATCCCTTTGTTGTATTAACAAGGGCAATTTTATTGAAGAATGGCCGAATGCCGTCATTGCAGAAAGTAATTCGACGTAATAGGATTAAGAAAACCAACATTATTGGATCGACTAGGGTTATTTTTTTTAAGGACGACCGAAGGCCGCGAAAGCAGAATGCAAATTTCGACGCGAAAGAACTCTGAACAAGGTGTTGGATCGACCAGGGTTATTTTTTTGAAGCGGGTTCAATCTGCTGCATATTCGCACACTGCTCCGCCCCTCCAGTCGAGTGGCCAAGAAAGGACCTTTACGGCCCTAAGGAGCTCAAGGCAGCATGACTCCCAGTCTGACATTTCTGCTGGGATGTTTTCGCAGAAACAGAGGACAACCAAACTATAACTTATCATCGAAGAGGGGATTAGATAACCGTTACAACAACAACAAGCAAAAGAACTCTGAATATCTCTGTGTTGGATCGACCATCGACGAATAATGTCATGGAAATTATAACTCTCATTGTACCAATTACTATTCTTCAACTAATTGCTTCCTGTATTTGCTGTTTAATCTCTTAATATTTGCTTTAAATAAGCATTTTCTTTTTACACAATTTTTGTTGTAGACACAATATCACAACGGTTTCATATTGACAAATAATAAGTGATGCCATATCCTTTTTATTTCTGCGCGGGTTTCCTTTTGTAATGGCGGCCTTCGGCCTTCTTCAAAACATGTCCCTGGCCGATCCAACACTGGCGTGGTCATTGGGCCATTCGCATCAATTTAGTGAAGTATTAGTGTATAATAAATGTATAATATAAAAAAAAATAACTATAAATCGAGAACTTGCAAGATAGAATTTGTAAAATTTTCAACCTAAAATACAATATACATATTATTAATATGGAAAATCTTCACAATCCAGCCATAGCCCTTTTAATATGGGATGGTATACTAAAGCCGACTTGTTCTATTTATATGTGCACTGCTGCATATTAGCTTTCGAGTTCGGCGTTTCTATTCTAAATCGCAGTTAAAAATGAGCCTGTTAACCCCTAATTCGGGGAATTTCTCCATATGTAAGTATATCTTACCAGCAATTACCTCCGGAGAATATTTAAAAAAAAAATCAATACAGCTGGTACACTGCAATAGAGGGCTGACTGTGGTGAACAACATGGATGCTGTGGCTAGGAGAAAATTTCTACATCCAATTATTAATAAAATATCATAACAGCAATTTTTAAATAATTGAGTACACTAATATATAATATCAAAATATATTTTTCCACAAAATATGTTGTTGCATACATATGTATATATTACTACCAAAAGATCCACAAATCTGATCAACAAAAAATTTATATGGAAGGATAATTGATACTAATTTGATCGTAACTTTCTGCTACTAAGTATGTAAACTTTATTAACCTGATGTTTTAATATACTGTTTTTCTATCAGTGCTTAATTCTAATTCTAAAGCTTATTTTTATTTCGATTATATTTAACACGAAATTCTATATATTACAGAGTGCTGTTAGAAGTAATGGAAAATAACATAAAGTTTGGTTCTACTAAACATAGCAATTTATTTATCCGGAATATAAATTTTAACTACATACGTTTCAATAAATCAAATCCCGATAGACAGCCTCTTGTTCACTGGTGTAATAATTTCTGTGGAAAAAATTTCCAAAATATTATTATGCATATACTTCCGTTCAAATTTTAGAAACAAACACACGCAATTACACTAAATTTATTTTTATATATCCATAACTATACTAATTGTTAATAAACTCTAATTACCGACCTTTAGAATACCAAGTTTTAAATCGATATACGAACACAATCGATTGATAGTGTACCGACTCTGCGGTTACACATGCCTATAACAGTTCGAAAAGCGAATGCATTCGTATTACTTAAGGGGCATCTAGACAGGCAATTTATATTTATAAAAATCTGTTGCTAGCAATATTGGCAAATATATTGCACATTGCTAAAGTCAAAAGTCAAGCAATATATCTCTAAATATATATCCAGAGAATGTAATATATAGAGAATGTTCACAGTGCGGCCATTAGCAAAATATTTCACTTTTCGTAGGGCACATTTTAGGGCGAGCACATAAATGTGGATTGAGGGGTAATTGAGAAATAAAATGTTAATATATAAATCGAAGAGTATCAATGTTGACAAAGCTAATATATACATAAGTAAATGTGTATCTATATGCAGGTGTTTGTTGGTCGGTTGGAAAAGTTCATGTATACTATATGCTAGTAGTTAGATTTTTTTCTAAGTCTAATACACATACATATATGTATATGTTTTATTGCGCCAAATTGGAAGTTGTAAGGGGATTCTGCTTTTTGATTTGAAAAGTTCTTGTGTACTATATGCAAGTAGTTATATATTTTTTAAGTCTAATATATCTTTTACTAGGGAAATTGCAAATGGACGATTTCGTAATATGGCATTAATATTTTTTTTTTAACATTTAATTTCAGCATTTTATAAAAATTGTTTAAATTGTTTTTAATTGCTTTAAGTAAAAAAAATTCATCAATAAATTTTGCAGATATTTTCTAAAAATAATACACTTGTCTTTGATTTATAGTATAGTACAAACATACAATTTTTTGTATAAACATATATTACGTATAAAAAGCATATTGGAATATACATACATATCTACTTACGAACATTTTTTAACAATATATTGAATATTTTCTTTAAAAAGTTTTACATAGTTATGAGTACATGTAAAACAATATGAAAGATAAATATTTGTAAATTTGCTACAAACAACATATGTATGTAAATATATAAACTAATTGCTTCATGTGAAATCTCCGTTGTCACGGACAACCAATTGCGGAAGGTCATGTTTTTTGTTTTCATGTCAAAAAGTCAATGTTACGAAAGACTGACTTTGTGAATACAGTGTCACAACATTGTGTTGTTGGTAGAAAATGCGAGCTGTTCCGAAAAAAATTAACGAACGGCCACCGGGTGTCGCCGCTTTAGCAGCTTTGCGTACAAACTATCGTAAATATGTATGTTTATGTATGAGCATGCATACATATTTACGGAGATTTTTGTCATGGAAAAATATTTTAAATCGACAAAAGCGTTGTTGTCACTTTTTTACTGTATTTTGTATGCTTGCGGGGTTGCACCTTTTCCCTTATGGAAGGAACTTCAGAAATTTGTTAAATTTTTGCTTTTTAGCTTTTACCTTCGTCGCGAAAAGACACTTGTAGGGAAAGACATGTTCGAAGAGATGTGTATGGCGTTTACTTTTTTCACAATGACTATAAATGTTACTTTGTTTTTTTTTTTCAGTTTTACATGCATCCATTAAAATTCGCAAATGATATTCATATCAATATACATATATGATTGCATATACGCGTATAAAAATATAAGCCAAAAGAGTAACATACGGCTGTATAACCAAAGCAAGTCTCTGAGCATAATTTTTATTCAATGCTCAGCTCTGTTCATACGCCACTGTTAAAATTTCTCCTTCCGAGCTAGCTGTAGTGAAACACGCTCATCGTATTTTGATAGGTTTTGACAATTCACACGCTGGGTCGTAGTTTGACCTTCTCTATATTTTACATTTTCTGATGTATCTTTCCATATCTTGCATTTATGAACTGCCATTTTATTGATTTAACAGTGGTGTTTTCATTTCTATAGAAAATTTGGAGCGTTTAGGCAGAGATAAAGAGATTCCCAACTCATCTCTCACTGGAAATGAGAGCGCAATTGCTAAACGTCAAAAACTCCTGAACTCAGGCAATTATCAAAGTTCTGGAATTATTCTGGAATTTGCCACTAATAGTCGCTCCTGGAAGAATATATATTAAAATAAACTGATTTTATTTGAAAAAAGTAAAGTTTTACATATAAGCAATACTATTCATAAATTAAAAAAAAAACAACAATATGCAACCATTTTCCGGTCGAAAGGCGGCCATCTTGGATGCCAATAAAAAATTAACCCCTAGACGGACTTGACATTTCTCATGGACCCTCTCCTCTACTCACCCTCGACGATGATATCAACATTACAGATACATACATATGTAAGTATGTATTAACATTAAACAAGCGATCCTTTTAATTTGCAAAACTCTATTTTTATATAAACAGTTTGATTCTCGAAATCGTTATCCAAAATCCTTATTGAAGATTTAATACCGCATGATAAGCAAGGGTCGAGCATGAATTTTGCTCTACGATTCCTGGCGTCTTTATATTTTTACGGGCATGTCTCTTATCGGAAATGCGGCCCCAGAGATATTTTAGAAGCTAATGGAAGAACTATTGCCTCCTTGCCAGAATGCCGACGTAATAATTTTAGGAAGCAACCTTGAAGAATATGTATGACAAAGCATTGGACATGGTTAATACAATTTTTAAAAGTAATAATGTGATAATAATGCTGAACAAAAATAAATGCATTATGAGAACTTTTTTGGAACACATCTTGTGGTTGTTGTTGTTGTAGCGCTCCTTGGTCCGAAACAATCCGGGTCCGTTCCGGTTACGTAGACCCGACTGTTACGGAAACGGGAACACATCCTGTCGGGTTAGGCGATCGAAGTTGACCCCAAAAAAATTAAAATTAATATTAACAGCATTCAGAGCGCCCAAAAACAAGGAAGAAGTACGCAATTTTCTAATTTTATCTACATACATGCGTGGGGAAGTTTGTAGTTTACTTAGCAGTACCGAGCCTCTAAGGGAACTAATGAAGAGCAAAGAGACATTTATTTTCGGGCAGAGAGCAGGACGAGGCATTTCAAGAATTAAAAGCGAAAATTGAGTGGTACCGAAACTAATGCAATTGCAAATGCTAGTCTGGTGACCCTGAGTGTCGTATTTGTGTAACTTGATAAGGCAAACACTTCGCGGATCTTTTCATTTGCCAGTAAAAGTCACTTACTGGTGGAAAAAAGATATTGACAAACCGAAAACAAAAGTCTTGCCTTGGTGTGGGCTGTTGAAAATTTTTGATTATTATTTGGCTGGACCACACTTTGATTTAATATCACAGACTACAAGAAGTCTTATGTTTACAATCATATCGTTTCGGAGTGATATATAAAGCAGAGAAAGAAAATATTGCTGATTCACTATCAAGGCTTTGTCAAGAAAATAACGCTGATCCATATGACTCGTGACATATGATAGGACTCGTGGAAAGGGAATATGTCTAGCTCATATTATCCATTTCCTCTGGACCTGTCGTCAATAGTTGATAATATCCTATTACGGGGCACTAAACTAGTAGTGAACCTAATGAGGGGCATCCAGAAATAAGTGCAATAAAGCGGAGGTTACGCTCCAAAGTTTGGTGGCCTTGTGTGGACAAGGATGCTGAAAAATACGTCAAGACGTGTCAAGATTGTCTTAAAGTGTCAATGTCACCAAAACCAGCCCTGATGGAGAGAAACACTTTCTTGAATGGACCTTGAAATGCCTAGCAACTAATATTATATTTTGGGCCCCTTACCTAATGGGAATAATATATTGATATAATAGGGATACAATTGATTACTACTACAAATATATGGAGTTAAAAGAGTTTAAATCGATACGATACAAAATCATTATTGATAAAATGAAAGAGATATTTTCAAGATTGTGATTTCTAGAGACATTAACGAGTGACATTAGAAGGCGGTTCATAAGCGTTGAGTTTAAAAGTTTTTGCAACATCAACGGTATTCGGCTAATGACTACGCCTCATACTGGCTCCAGGCTAACGGTGAAGAAGAAAATATGATAAGTACCAACATAACAGGTACAAGAAAGAAATTCAGATTCGTTTTAATGTACAATGTTACTCCACATGGTACCACGAGCGCTCCACCGACAGAACTAATGTTTAACAGAGTAATAAGGGACAATATTCCCTGCATTCAAGACCTCGTTGGGAGAATGGCGACTCATAAGAGAAAGATAAGGAGATGCGGGAAAAAGATAAATGGAAACAGTTGACAGACAAGGCTAGAATTGCGGGAGATATTGACATCAAAGTTGGAGATAGAGTACTCTTAAAGAACGTTATATTTCCGCATAAGTTGACATCCACATTTGATACTACCACATATGAGTAGTAAAGCAAGAAGGAAACGTGGTGCAGATTTCCGGGGGCGGTAAAACGTACACAAGGAATGTTGGTAATTTGAAAAAAATTGTGATCACAAACCCATCGAATCCTACAGCTCTAGTTTGTCTCAACGCCGGTTCTTTTTCTCGAACTACGTCTTTGCAGACTGTGATGCTACAGGCAGCCTCCACATCTGAGGATCAGCAGATGCCAAGCTAGAAATTAAAACACCGTCTGGAGAAAAAAGAAGGGTGCGGAGGTCTGAACCTGTAGGGGAGAGTGACTATAACTCAGCAATGATAAATATTCATATGTAACGTGCCTGGCAAGACCTCATATGAATTAGATGTCGGGTGACGACGACCGGGACGGACATGGAATTAAATAATTATTTATAATTAATTAATAATACTATTAGTTTAATATTTGTAAGAATATATCTGAGAATTATAATAAATTTGGAAATTGGCGAATATTACAACTAGTAATAGTAAAAGGGCGAACAAGGATAAAACCTAAAAACATGAAGCATACAAAAATTTGAAGGGTCGGCTTTAGAATAACGTCCCACGCTTTCGGGGATAAAATGGGTATGGGCGGATAGAGGAGATCCTCCAGATCAAGAATAGCCGCGGGAAACCTATGGTTTTCGAGATATTTCGGTTTAAAGTTCAAAATTTCGACTATTTAAAGTACTTATTTTTTCGTTATAGAATGAATTATACACTTATATTTTTAACTTTTACATCCACTAACACTTCACTAATTCGTTTTTACACATTTTTTTG